CACCTTCGCCCACACACAGTTTTTGTCTTGCACGAATCAAGAAGAAGAAAAAGCAAAAGAAAAGGCAAGAGAATAACAAACAAATCAGGCACTCATGTTTATCCATTTAAATTTGCTTTCGAGTTAAATATAATGTCTGGAAATCTAACCAAGAAATAAAATTAATTTACTGAGGGACCAAAGTCAATGGCAGCTTAATAGTTGATCAATTGATAACTCAAGATTTTTTCGTCGCCTGTTTAGTTGTTTCTGATTTTTTTTTTCGCCATTAACTTGTTCCGGAAATAGGGAAGTGATTTAAAGTAAGAAAAAAAATGTCATTTTTTTCAATCAAGTCATTCCATAATAGAACACCTTCGCTACGCTTGTGACAATGATTTATTTAATAGTCATATTAAGAATAGATAAATTTTGACGCGTCTTTCTTTCATATTCTTTCTATTTGTAGTGACATGTAAATGACTACCTAATTAGCATAGATATTGGACGATCTCCTTAACGATGAGGAGGGGACTTGAAGCAACCGAAATGATGCTTAGGATACCATGGACCGAACATGCGAGAAACGACAAAATTTGGAGGAAATAGAAACAAAACGAAACTAATATTTAACATCAGGAACAAACAGTTATGGTTTATGGGGCATATAATGAGGAAGAAAGGGTTGAAAAATTTGATACTCATGGGACAGGTAACGGGCAAGGTTGACAGAGAAAACAACGCATAACATTCTTAGCGAGTAAATAGTAAATGTATCTCGGAACAGGGCTTAGGAGAAATAACAGAAAGAAATAGTTTATTATAAGCTACTAGTGACAGGAAGATGTGGAGAGCCATGATCACCTACATCCTGTGCGGACATAGCACATAAAGAAGAAGATATAGGGGCTATATAAATACTAAACAGTAAGGGAAGGAACAGAACGAGATATAAGGGTCAATTAAGCCTCAGGAGGCCATCCCGTCCAGGCAGTAGCTATTTCCGGAAGGGGGTGCGTTTATTGCTTAAAGCGTCACCTAAATATGGAACTACCGATGTGTGTGTGTGGGGGGGGGGCTTAGAGGATTTTTCTCGGAATTCCCAGCGAACCCACATTAAACTCGAGAATAATGACTACAGCTGGACTGAGAATATACGAACAAAATAACCTTGTTTACACCTAACAATAGTGTTTACCGTGGACTTATATTTTTTCGGTCTAAACCTCTCTATTTAATTCAGTAATAGTCAAGTACAGCAACAGGCACGGAAGAAATATATGGGCCGGAAAAGGGATTATGTTAAAAAAAAACATCATTTGGTCAAATTCCATGAGAGTATCTTGGTAATCCTATCAATTTTTCAGCCAACTCTCGAATGTTTCGATGGCTTATTGTTTTTTTCATTTATTTATAACTAAATATATCTCGTATATCTAGTTTTATTCATTACATTGCAGGGAAACAAATATTCTTACACATACACATTTTTAATTTATTGCATTTCCAACAAATGAATAAACATACTTTTCATATAATTAACTGTGCACAGATGCATAATAACTAAATATGCATAGAAAACAGAACAAAACAAACTTTGATTTAATAGAAATAAATCCCATTTATCCATTTTAATGGGTGAAAAATGTATTCGTACAATGATTTTAAAACATTTAAATTGCTTTAATACTCTAGATTATTCAAGTGGAATATTCTAGAATGTTCGAATAATGCTACCAGTAATTATTTTTAGTCTAAAAAATACAAACAGAACATTTTGTAATTGATATTCTTGCAAGAACATTATCATCATGGCAAAAGGTAAAGAATTGACAAATTTCGCAAAAGAACTTATTGTTAAGCTCTGGAAAGAAGGTAAAAATTACAGGAAAATCTCAGACAACCTAAATATTTCATTCACTACCATGACTTCATTCATTGTAATGTATAAAAAGTCTAAACTGTTGAAAACAAAGAAAAACAGCCACGGAAGATTTGTTCAAGATCCCGAAGTGTTTAATGCGTCAAATTGAACAAAATCCAATGGTTATTCATCAAGAGTTTCAAGATGATTTGGTTTCATCACGAATCTGTGGCACTAAAAGAACAATAAGCAATGAAATTCATAGGAACAATCTAAAATCACTCTCCCCTCGGAAAACTCCACTGCTATTGAAATGACACGGAGATTGCCAGGTTGAAATTCGTTCGTGAACATAAGGATAAGGAAAAATCGTATTGCGAAAGAGTATTATGGACAGAAGAAACGAAAATTTCTTTTTTTTCCGCTGACATAAAGTGGGAATATTCTATTGAATCAATTGCTAATACTGCTAGGAAAGTGTTATGGTGTAGAACCATAGAAAGATAACACGGACTCGGATATAAGGTTAAATAGTAGATTCTTGGAAACGTAGTACAAAGGTAAATGTGGACTGGAGACTACTTTCTCTCACTGGTATCCTGACTCACTCATTCACTCACTCTATGGCTACAACTTGGTGACCCTCACTTGGTGACTCCCTTTACTCAGAGTTGGTAGCCATATTATATAGGTGTGGAAGAGTCCATTTGTAGGTAGGTCCCCGCAATAGAAAGTTGTTTTTGTCGTGCTCGACAAGTTTTCTGTCCCGAGTCTATCTCCATTTCTATCAACGCAGTAGCTTCCCTGTGCCTTTTCTATAAATACTTTCATGCAAATTGTTCTGAAGAATTTTTCTCTATGTTCTATGTTTATTGGCCTCTTTTATTTCTGTCCCCATTTCCTTAATCCCCCCCCGTTAGCTGATAGAGATGTTAGTTCACTGTTAGATGCGGGCAGCTTTTCGTTTTTCGAGTGTGTATTTTGTATTTGTTTATGTGTTTGGGTGAGTGTGCGTTTGAATTGGTGTATGGTCGAAGGATTGTTGTTAATTAACTAGTCCCGAATTAATTTCGTTCAGTTAACTGATTTTTCTACCACAATTAAGGATAGTGGGAGAGTTTGTTACTAACACTCTTTTGTTTAGTTTCTTGTATATAAATTGTATTCACTGTAAATATTCTTTGGGATTTCATTTTTAAATTTTCCTATTTTATCCCCCCACCACAGGAAAGTTGTACATATGAGACTAGTTAGGACTACATAGAGGCTTTGATGTATTATGGTGGCTTTAGTGAGAATGTTAAGTAAGAATGTGTTCACTATTTACATTATTCGGACTATTGTCCTCATCTTTGTCGCCATATTTATTACAACATTTCGGTCGTTGTACGCCCCAGCCTTCTTCAGGTGGTTGGAATGTCGAACTGAGCCCTTTATTTTGCTCGCTGGGGTAGACTGTTTTAATTCCACGTGCCATGTCTAATGGATGTCAGGTATCGAATTCACACTCTTTGGGTCCAGTCACTGGATCTAACTAACACCTTTATTCACAGGGACACATGGCACAGATACTGAGAATGTGTTGTTTTAGTGTAAGGATTACTGTGGTGTGTTTGGGTCAGTAATCATGGCTAACCTAATTTATGATAAGACAGATTGAAGACCAGCCTTACTCTTTGCCCTTTTTTTGGCCTTTGTGCTACATTTCTGTATTTTTCAAAATAAATATTACTTTCCGTTATGGGACCTAGAATCTAGGAATTTAAGCGCAGTTCTAGATTGGCGGAAAGGTCTTATTAAATTACAGTTGAAATGGCTCGATGTAACAGCAAGTTATCGGTGTCTTCTATCGCACTTCTTGCTTGCAGATCTCTCTTCAGGTTTCTTGCTTCCCAGTCAAGATTGATCTTCAAAAATTTGAATGCAATGTCAATTGTTATCTTCTGTCTTCTTGATTCCTGTTCTTTTTATTGTCCTCTCTCTCCTTAATAGTGTTTGTTTCTCATATTCTCTAACACTCAGTAAGTCCTTGCATGTTAGTGGCTTTATTGCTTTGCTTGGGATGAACTGATAAAAATGTCGTCTGTGAAACTAGATGACTATCCACCACGTCTCAAAGTTTAAATTAATTTTAGAAAAAAATAAACAAACTGGTTTGGGAAACGTATCAATAATCTATCTCACAAACGTCGGAGGCGTCTGCAAGAATAACTTGCTAACCAACACTCTAAACATTTTTCACTTGTTTTAACGACAAGCCCACAAGTTGGGTTGGGTGATGTCTTTAACTTCAAATTCTCAACAGCAGTAATGGTCTACGAGGTGATTTAACTCGCCACTCCTCCGCTGACGGACGGCTTAATTAAGCCAGAATATATTCGAAAAAGAAATTTGGAAATCTTTAATTAGGTTTAACACATTTCTGAGTACTTTTTCTTCAACTTCCTTGTTTGTTATATATGAAATTTAATTCCAAGACGTGTGTGTTCATGGCTCTCCACCTCTTCCCGTTTTACCTTGCTTTAAGTATATATTGCTCCTTCACCAGTCCTCTTTGTTTATAATTTGTCATCGATTCATTGAAACTCGTGGAATAGTTTTTCCGTTTGTTTTGCGTTCAATATCCAGTGAGTATTAAATTCATTAGCCCTTCTATACATTATGTCCTCCTAAGTTTCACTTTTTTTTTCTCAGATTGTTAGCAGCATTTTTTTTGCTGTTTCTACTTTCATAAAAATATCTTCGTTATTCACATGTTCCATTGTATTCTCTGCATTCGTTGCTAGAAAGATGTTTCGGTCCCTTGAAGCTTTTCTTCATCAGTGATAAAATTGCTCAACATATTTAATAACAGTTTAACACTCCTCTCCTGAGCTTCTGACATGGATTTTTTCATTATTTATGTCTCTTCCTATTTCTGGGTCACAGTTTCTATCCTCTACCACTTTTCACTTGTTATTGTGAGTTTGCAAACACCCAAATTTTAATTATAATTCTCTGTAAGCTATGTAAACACGCTAAAAACATTAGTTTTCGTGTGATAAAGGCTTGATTTCAAATAATTTTCGTTTGTTTACGTGACTTTGCAAACACCAAATTGTTGTCAGACCGTAACATGGACACTTCCAGGACTATATAAAGTATGCGATATAACACTCTAGGAGAAGAGGAGGAGAGAGAGAGAGAGAGAGAGAGAGAGAGATAGATAGATAGATAGATAGATAGATAGAGAGAGAGAGAGAGAGAGAGAGAGAGAGAGTATTCTAATACCGTAGTATCAGCCGCGTACGACTAGCAATATTGGACACTAGCACATAGTAAGCTCCGCTTACACTTACACTATCTTTGTAACCTTTTTGTTTAATATATCTTTCTCACCTCTAATCCGTGTGCCGTGTTTTCCTTCCGTGGTCCCAACTTTGGGCCCACATCACAAATTTTACTTAATAAAACCGTAAACATGCTTTAAACATCAGTTTTCGAGAAAAGAAGGTTTCGCAAAATGTTCACGTAGTTTACACAAGGATAGAATAACTAAAATTTTGTGTTTGCTCGGTGTAAGTCCCGGCAACATATGGAAAGTAGTTGAAATCGTGTTTTCAGTTAGTTTTGGTAGCTTACTCAAAGTTATAGCAACAAAAATTTGGTTTTTGCAAAGTCACTAAACAAATGAAATCAAGCCTTTTGTTACAAGAAACCGGGAATCAAGATAATCCTTTCCAAAGCAGAATCTGGATTTCGAAAGAAAGCAGTTATGGAATCAAGCTTGAATCCATCATGAAAATTTCGGATATGGGATTATTAGATATTAAACATTTCAAATACCTCAGCGTACGGATCAGGTATGAGAAAAAAATAAGAAAATGGAACATAGAATACACTGTGCAAGGGCTAGTTTCTCCCAACACTACCAGTTGCTACAAAACCAAAACATCAGGATAAAAACACGAGTCATGTTCTTAAATCGTCTCATCAAATCGAAACTTTGATAAACTCGTTCAGAAATATCTAAATTTTCTTAAATCAACGATAAATTCTGCTTCACGCGAATGAAGCCAGTAGCTCTTAGCGAAGACCGTTCTTCTTCGAGCCTGGCGCTACATAATCACAAACAACGAACTGTACAAAAGAATAGAAACCAATTCATTTTAGGACTTTTAACAGCAACATTTTAAATGGACAACATGTGTAACGCGAAGAGAAAATATTGACATATCATTTAGATATTCCCCACTACTTCAAACATAAGATTAGGAAGGAAACCCTCATCAGTACTGAAAAGAGCAACAACATTTGCGAAATACCTGTAGGTATTTGAGAAACCTATTTTCCTGATAAATTGGTTAAAGACTTATTTCAGCCGGAAGTAGCAATGGCTGTTCGATCAAAGAATGTTGTATGTTTCCTTATAAAAAAAAGGGTAATATTACTATTACCATTTTATTTGATAAAGTGTGAAACTATACGCGATGTAAGAAAAAATAAATAAAAATATAATTTGAGTATAAAATAATGGCACATGCAGTAAAGTTTACCTTTACTTATGTTTCAACTGATCCCATTACAGCAGGAGTCACATGTTAAATGAGTTTTTAAAAATTGGAATAAATTCAGCCTTTTTTTACATTCCGTTCAATTAGGCAAGCAGATAGTTATCTATGTGCTTACAATATTTTTTTTAATTTTATAAAGTGTGAAAATCATCCTGTTGGAAGCAGAAAAAAGAATATAAAGAAATTTTGCACAAAATAATTATACACAGCTAATTTCTGCAGCTGCTTGATTTTGACATCTTCAATATGTAACTCACCCCTTAGGTTGTCATTTAATGGTTATTCCTTTCTTTCTATCTATCCATTTCTTCTTCTATGTGTCGTGTCCTTTCAAGACAAAGTTGATCACACTCCTACACAACTTCGATCACTTGGGGGCCGTACAGATTTTTTTCAAATTGTTAAGGCTCTGATCTCCCCCGTTCCATCATCCATTCACAAATCTTATGTCAATATTTTCTCTTCGCGTTACACATGTTGCCCATTTAAAATGCTACTTTTGTTAAAAGTCCGAAAAATGAATTGAGTTCTGTTCTTTCGTACAGTACTTTGTTTGTGATTCTGTAGCGCCAGGCTCGAAGAAGAATGGTCTTCGCTAAAAGCTACTGGCTTCATTCGCGCGAAGCAGATTTTATCCTTGATAGCAGCATGGTCCGGCGTTGCCCGTGCTTGATTCAAAAATCGTGCGACTCGTACAACAATCGCTATCACTTGACTTAAAATATTTTTGCCCTTCCTTACCTTTAAAGGAGTGCTCTTTGCCGTGCTGATGTTGCTACATGCCTTACTTCTTGCCTATCTCACACTGCTGATATTTTCTAAGCTCTATACTAAACATTAAATCTGTTACGAAAAAAAGAACTAAACAGAATGAATACAAAACGATCAGCTTTAAAAAGACTCTTAGCTGGAAAAACCGAATGAAAAAAGAATGTTAACAACAAATACATTTTCACACCCAACCCAGTTCTGCGGAATCAGAATCAACGTTGAGTTTAAGCAAGCGAATGAGCCAATTGGAGTAAAGTGCCATGCAGATTTAAATTTTTCCCACTTGTGACAATGCAGCTATCGATTTTTTTGCATGCTAGCATGATAGTTAACATTCGTGTCAGTCAGCTGTTGGCTCTCACGCTGGCCAATAGAATCTTCCTGTCTATTCGTGGCAGCCAGCTATTGGCTCTCACTTTGGCCAGTAAAAATGGCCGCAATCTACATGAAAACTGCATGAAAAAATCGATTATTTCCACTATCGATGGGAGTTGAGAAATGCAAAGTCGGTCTTGGCCTTTTCGCTAACTTGGAGCATGTGCATGTAAATTTTGGTGGAAATCCGTCGAAAATTGCGGCCGTGCACACACACACACACACACACACACACACACACACACACACACACACACACACACATCCTGCCTTTTATAGATAGAGACGTGAGAAAGCAGTTGCACTATGCCTATGATTTAGAAAATTTTTGAACGAATTTATGAAAGTTTCGATTTGATGAGACGATTTAAGAACATGGCTTGAGCTCGCCAGTTTAGTAGCTCTCTGCCTTCCCTTTGTCTCTCTTGCATTAAATATACCACGTGAGGGTTAAGTTTTCCAAGCCTTCCGACCTCATTATGTTTAAAGAAACTTTAGCTGTATTTTTCTGATTCTGAATTCTTTCTGCTGGAATTTTTCCATCATTTTTTTCAACATTTTTCCCCTTTTGCCATTTGACCCTAAACGAGGTCATAAAGCCACTAATACACACGTTAATGACTGTAATAGATTATGAGTAAAAGAAAACATTGCGGAGAGAGAAGAATAGAAGAACAGAAATTAGGAAGATAACGATTGACATTGCTTTTTTGAAGATCAAAGTTGACTGAAAGCAAGACACCTTTTCTTTCTGAGTTTTCCATCAACAGAATGTCATTCGTGTATGCTATTTTGTTATGTTCGTTAGTGTCAATTCTTGGTCTGTATTCTTCTCTTAGAGTCGTTTCGCTGCATAGATTATATAAATCTGGTTAAGAGCGTATCTTTGTTTTAATCCTCTGTTGTGTATTCAATAATTTCTTTCTTTATCTGCATGGAAGTTGTTCGTTCTCAGCAAAGATTACTCGAATATCTTTCTGGTGTAAATCTTGCTTATCTAATATTTAAGGTAGATTTATATGCCACATCCTATCAAATGACTACGCAATCTATAAAGCTTATATATGCAGGGTTACCTCATCCCTTAAGGGTACGTCTCTTAATAGCACTAACTTTTTTCTAACTCGTTCTGATTATCATTTCTTTTCAGATAACTGATGACAAACAAGCTAATTCAGAAAATGAAAAGGCGCGCTGTAATCATTGCCTTAAAGGCGGAGCGTAGGGATGTGAAAAATGCTCGCTTTCGAAGTTGCATAGACGTTTGTTGTCAAATTTCGCTAAGCGCTGCAAGCCAATGCCGGGGATTTTACAGCAGTAATCAAACGTGAAACACCTTCTACAGATCTTAATATCACCAGAACAGCCACATTTGTACGAAAGGCGTAGAAGATTATCGAAAAGAATCGCAGAAAGTAAATTAACGCCACTGATAAGGTACTCAATGCTTCAAAGCAATCTATCGGAAGAATTTTGCACAAGGTCTTTCGATCCAAGTCATATACAATGTGGAGAGTCGCCATTGCTAAGGGGATCAATGTTTCAAGGGACTCTATTAGAAGAATAGTGCACGAAGACCTTCGATACAAGTCATATGCGATGCAGAGATTTGAATTTCTATATTCGTATATATTAACCAATCAGCGACGTTATTATAAAAGCGCCGAGACCTTTGAAATTCCAGACGACTATGTTTATCGTCTGCTACGACATTTTGTAGCACACTTCAGAAAATGATCAACAATATTTTCTCTCTTTAAAATAAATATTTAAAAATTGGGGAAAAATTTATTTATCAATAACCTTATTAATTTGATAAAAGCAAGTTTTTTCTGAAGCCGATATTTCGTTTATAAAAAGCGTCATTAGTTAGCAGAGTTCATTTTTCAATTTTCTTTTGACCAGGATCGTTCTCCATGTTTAAATACCCAGACTTTCGCATATTTATTCGAATATACCATATTAGAAAAAAATGTTGAGTTAAGAAGCACAAAAAAGATACGAAGCGAGTCAACAACTGTAATATTAGCAGTAGTATTAATGCAAGTATCCATCATTGACTGCCACTAAGAAATAACCTTCAAAGGGTTGATAAACTGTAAAAACAAACAAATAAAAAATTCGAGCTTGAATAATCCCCGACATTCAAGATTAACGACAAAACATTTTAATAAAGATATCAAGAAGGCGGAAGGAATATAGAATAGTGAGAGAGGAAAAGTTCTAAGAAAATTATTATAATTATTTTTTTATCTCTCGAATTTCTTTCGTCTGATCTGCCTACCATATATATATATATATATATATATATATATATATATATATATATATATATATATATATATATATATTTTATCGTTGTTATTTTATAGATACAAGTATTTAAGCCAAATCTGCCTACTCTCCCTCTGTCTGTCTGTCTGTCTCTAGAAAATTCTCTCTCTCTCTCTCTCTCTCT